GGGACTCTGTCATAGAAATGCCAGGAAATTTTTTCCTAATCTATCTTTCTCCACCCCTCTTCTGAAAGTGCTATCCCAAGGGTCACCAACACCTTAACTGCCAAAGGAATTTCAGGGTCCTCATAATCTTTTCTTCAGCAGCTAAAAGTATTGGTATATACTGTGTCTTACGGGAAGCTCATTCCTGTTTCCAGTAACACAGCTTTCCCCTATCACTCAGGCCGCCAGTCTTTGACATGCCTTCTTAGGTGAGCTTATTCATGGCCACGCCTTAAGCAGTTACCAATGTACTATAGTTACTCTGAAATCCAGTGACATGTGAGCTTGAGAATGGCATGTAGAGGTAGCGTGGAGGAAACCAAGGATAATCTTTGGAGCTGAGGGCCTAGGAACAGCTCTGGGCACCATTAATTCTTGAGCTTTATCTTGAAAATAAAGGAAGCATTTTATACTATCTTTTCTCTGATGGCGAATTCTTTTTTTTAGTCTTTTGAGAAGGGTGTCCACCATGAAGCCTTCCTATTCTTATAATACAGAGTCTGGCCCTATTTTGCACTGTTATTCATAGGAACACCTTACAATAGTCCCCCCTTATTCATGAGTGATATCGTCCAAGATCTAGTGGATACCTGAAACCTGAGACAGTACTGAATCCTATATATACTATGTTTTTCCCTATATATACATACCTTTTCACTTAACAGATAGCACTTTAGTGCTTCCCTTTATCATATTTGAATTGTTAGCAACACTACTCTTGCTCTTTGGGCCCATTATTAAGTAAAATAAGGATTATTAGAACACAAGCACTACACTACCGAGATAGCTACCAAGAGACTTGATGGGCAGGGAGCATATACCGCCTGGATACGCTGGGCAAAGGAATGACTCACGACCCACGCTGGATTGAACAGGAGAGTGTGAGACTTCATCATGCTTCTCAAAATGGTGTGCAATTTAAAACTTATGAACTGTTTATTTCTGGAATTTTTCATTTAATAATTTAGACTGCAGTTGACCACAGGTAACTGAAACTATGGATAAATGGGAGTGTGTGTGGCTACTGAATGCCCCCCCAATATTACAATAAAAAGCTGCATTGCTAATATTTCCCCATTAGTGCAAATGATAATATATATTCAATGCTTAAAATATATTTACTATTGACAGTATTACATATGTCCCCCATTCTTCTTACTCATCCCCATCCTAGCCTTCATCACACTATTGTCTGCGTCCATGGGATATGAATATAAGTTCTTTGGTTTAGGTCTGGTCTTATATCAATCCTGGTACAAAATTATCTAGTCTTTAGGATAAAAACATTTTTTAATATGTTTTTATTTATTTATTTTGAGAGAAAGGGAGAGAGAGATAGAAACATCCACGTGAGGCAGACATGAATCAGCTGCCTTCTGCATGCCCCCCACGGAGTAGGGATCTAGCCTGAAACCTGGGCATATGCCCTGACAACACAGTCTATTGAGCCACACCAGCCGGGCTAATCTTTAGGTTTTATATCCAATAATATTCTTTATGGAAAAAGAAAACATTTTCATCTTGATTCAGAATTCAATCCAAGATCACTTGTTTACATTTATTTGTTGTTTATCACATTTTTAAAATTCAAACTTTACAATGAAATAAATTGTCATGGAATGCCTAAGTGGCTTAAAAACTTGTCATTCAGTAAAAAGGTTTAGATAGTCAATTATGTTTTCTTTCTCAGTTGAATCAGTTTTGACAAATGGAAGTGTCATTTGCTAACACTGATGTGTTCTTGGGCTGTGCTTTTTTAGGGTTCATTGGAATTCAATAATTGTTTTATTCCACACCTATATAACAATTCGTACTGATGAATGATAACAGTTCTCTTCTGTTCTGGTGGTGTGATTCAGTGGATTGAGTATCATCCCATGGACTGAGAGGTCCCGGTTCAGTTCCCAGTCAAGGCATATGTCCAGATTTCAAGCTCGATGCCCAGAAGGGGACATGCAGGAGTTAGCTGACTGATGTTTCTATCTCTCTCTCCCTTTCGCTCTCTCTAAAATATCAATTAAAAAATATTTTTTAAAAAGTTCTGTTCTGGTCCTGCTCGTGTAGCTCAGTGGTTGAGCATTGACCCACGCACCAAGAGTTCACTGTTTTGATTCCCTGTCAGGGCACATGCCAGGTTGTGAGGACTCTGTGGTCCGCAGGCCAATGCTCTCACCTGTTTTTATTACCAGACATTCTTAATTTTAATATAATCCAACTACTTAACTTTTTCCTTTATAATTAGTATATTTGATAATCTATTTTAAAATGTTTTAGCTGCTCCTGGGCTACAAAGATGTTTTGTTCTAAAAACCTAGTTTTATCTTTCATTTTTAGATCTACAATATAACTCAAGTTACTCGTGTGAAGTAGGGAATCAAAATTCATTTTTTTTCCCCATATGGATATCTACACAGTACCATTTATTGAGAAGAATTTTTGCATTGTACTGCATTGTCAACTTTATCATAAGTCAAGTGGTCATTTTTTTTTTTAATCCTCACCCAAGGACATTTTTCCATTTTTTTGTTCAGATAGAGTGGGAGAGAGAGAGAGAGAGAGAGAGAGAGAGAAACATCAACATGAAAGGGACACATCGAGTGGCTGCCACCCGTATGACCAACCAGGGCCGGAGATAGACTGCAACCGAGGTACGCGCCCTTAGCGGGAACCAAACCCCAGTCTCTCTGGACCGCAGGCCGATGCTCTAACCACTGAGCCAAACCGGCCAGGGCCGTTGGTCATTTTTATATGGATCTCCTGAACTCTCTATTCTATTCCATTAATCTCTTCATCTGTCATTGCACCAATTTGAAAGTAACTAATTACTATAGCTTTATAATAGATCTTAATATCTGGTTAATCACTATCTCTGTGTTGTTTTTTGTTTGTTTGGTTCTTGGTTCTTGGTTCTTTGCATTTAAAAAAATATGTTTCATTGATTTTTTTAGAGAGAGAAAGGGAGAGGGAGCAAGAGATAGAAACATCGGCTGGGCGTTTGCCTTGATCTGGAATTGAAACGGCGACCTCTTAGTAGATGGCTTGTCGCTCAACCACTGTGCCTCAGTTGCCGAGTTCCTTGGCATTTTTTTATAAACAAGTTTGTTAATTTTAACCCAAACCAAAACAAACTGATAGGGTTTTGATTAGGATTGCATCAAAATTAACATCATTATAATAGTGACTATTCTATGATTATGATATCTCTCTCCATTCTTTAATTTCTTTCAATAATATATTTATAGTTTTCAGAGGTCTTTTACAGCTCCTTTACTCCATTTTGACTGCTATGGAAAAAAAACCACCAGACTGGATATATCATAAACAGTAGAAATTTATTTGTCTCAGTTGTGGGGTTTGGATGTCTGAAATCAGGGTGTCGGCATGGTCTATTTAGGGCTCCCTTTGTGTATTCACGTGGTGGAAGCAGTTGGGAATCTCTGGGGTCTCTTCATAAGAACCCTAATCCTACTCATGAAGGCTTTCCACCGATGACCTGCCCACCTCCCAAAGGTCCCACCTCCTAATATCACATTTGGAATGGAACATTTCATATTTGAATTTTGGATAGACCGGAATATCTATGTCATAGTAATATTTAAGCAATTTATTAAATCTAGATCTGAATTTAGAGACTCTTATGCTTAATTTTCTGTTGTTTACTGAAGGAAATTTGAAAAAAAAAAGTCTGGCTAAAGCGCAAATACCATGAATAAGTAGCATTTTAGCATTTTCCATATGAAGAATGGATCAATATAGCTTTGTTGTAGTCTTGACGACTTGAAATTTTCTGGTATAATTTTGTTTGCTACAGTACATATCATTTTGTATTTAAGCATTTTTGAAAGGAAATGTATTATTTGGCTGTAAAGGACATATACGTGTAGAAAAACATTTTAATATAAATAATTGTGTTTAGGGGGAAGGTCCTAAAACCAACTCTACTCAAGGGATGCGTTGGTAGCAATGATTGTTAACCATCTGGAGTGACAGAAGAAAATGATATTGGGTAACTAACATCTTAAGAAGTTTCATCTCAAGTTTATGTTATATAGCAACAAAAATGGAATATTATGCTATTTGTTGCTCCATTTTGGTCACAGAGCTGGGTAGTTTTATCAGTTACTGATTATGTACTGTTTGATGTGATCAGTCTCTGTTATAAATTTCTAATACGTGGAGGGAGTTTTAAACAGAGTGGAATGATTTCATGTTGTGTTTATATTTTTATGAAATTTGTTTATAACACTAGGACCACTGAGCAGTTTTTTAAATACCTTTGAAGCCATTTTAACACCCTATGAGTGTTATGTAGTGTAAGTTAAATGGATAAATATTCAAAATTGATTGTCGTGTTTTACATTGACCATGTCAGTTTTAATCTTATGATAAAATGGATAGAATAAATCCTGGTGATGGTGTTGAAAAAAATCACAGGAATCGAAGGAACATTGCTTTATGTATTAATTACTCTATTTAGTAAACCATTCACTCAAGGTAAAGATCCATAACTTTCTTCAGATGCTAACTTTGATTGCTCAAGTTTATTTTTAACGTTGGGAGTCCTTGATTATTTTCATCTAGCTAGATTTGTCCTGTTGTGACATGTGTGTAAGAGCAGTTAGATAGGCTCTTTCCCACAGGATCATCTGTTACCTCTTTTGCAAAACTGTATCAACAGTAAAATAAACACAGACTTCTTTGGTCTACTTTTACGAACAATAACCAAAACCCACAGATTTCTCTTCTGCCTGTTTGTTAGTCAAGTAACCTGGGGTGTACTCTATGATGAGTTACATGCAGGAAGCTAGTTTGACAGCTGAAGGTTCTCAAATGCTTCAACCCTTTGAGAAATAGTAATTTTAAAAACGAAATGCAATATTACAGAGCTTTCAATGCAATATACATTGTATTTGACTTTAGGTTTCTTTTTTTCCATAAATGAATACATTCTGCTTTTGCAGGTTTTAAGAAGAAGCAGTGATGAAGAGAAAGTTCTTTGTTTGGTTCGGCAGCGTACAGGTCACCACTGCCCAACAGCCGTGATGGTGGTGCTCATCATGGTATGGGATGGCATTCCTCTTCCCATGGCAGACAGATTGTATACGGAGCTTACCGAAAATCTAAAGTCATACAATGGTCATCCCACAGACCGAAGATGCACTCTCAATGAAAAGTAATCATATCTGTTTTGTACTGTTTTGACATTCAGACCTCTATTATATAATGTTAAATTGTTAATTAATTAAGAACTATATATATGGGAGAACAAGATTTTAGAGATTGTGCAATTAAAATGAGTGATCCTTTCTTTAAAGAGAGACATGATTTTGTAGTGAGTTAAGACCATTTTAGAATATTCTGTTAGGATATTCTTTTATTGCTTCTTTCTTTGATGCCTGATCCCACTCACCCCAATAATCTGGAGCAGAGGGATTTTTCCACAAAGGAAAAGCATACTCCACAGGGAATTGTACCACTTTGCATTTCCTCCAGCAATGTAAGAAAATACCTGTTTCCTACAATTTTTTTGTCCATGAATATGTCACATTTGAGTGTTTGCCCATTTAATAGGTGATAAATTACACCAGCTTACTTTTTTAAAATTTTTTTTGTTTGTTTGTTTGTTTTTTTAAGAGGAGAGGGAGAGATAGAAACATTGATGTGAGGGAGAAACATCAATTGGCTGTCTCCTGCATGCCCCCCACTGGCGATTGAGCCTGCAACCTGGTCATGTGCCCTAACTGGGAATCGAACTGGGACCTCTCAGTTCATGTGAGGGCACTCAGTCCACCGACCCATACCAGCTGTGCTCAGTTTACTTTTGATTTTGCATTTTTCATATGTGTGGGAGAATGTTTTCATATGCTTAAGTCTTACTTGCCATTATTTTTGTTTTTTTGGTCAACCATCTGATAATTATCCCAGCCCCTATTTCTAAAGAGTTGTTCACTTTACAAAAATCTACTTTTACATATTGGGACTGTAAACTCTTTATGATATAATTTCTGAATGCTTTTGACAGTTTGCTACTTGACTTTTTACTTATGGTATGTCATCTTTTGCAAAACGTTTCTTTTTTAAATCCATCTTTAACCTTATTTATGTCTCAATTTTGAATGGTATTTAAAGACATTTTTCTACCTCTCAAGTTATTAGAGTACTTCACCTATGTTTTCTTTTAGAACTTGTTGAAATCATATATTTAAAAACATACATTTCTGATGTATTTAAATTTTATGCTGGTCAATAGCAGGAAGAAGAGATTCATTTTTACTTTTTTTTCCCATTTATCCCAATTTTCTAAAAATTATTCCTTTTCTCCTTGATTTGAAATGCTTCGTAACTGTATACAAAAATTATCTTTGTAATTGAATCTTCTCTTGTACTTGAATTCTGTATTATTGTCCTGCCTTTTCAGGTACTGAGTACCACATTTCTTAAATTATAGAGGCTTTATAATATATTTTAATATTTTCTAGGGCTAGCTGGCCATTCATATTCTTTTTCAACACTTTCTTTGTTATTCTTTTTTTCTTTGTGCTTCCAAATAAACTTTATAATCAACTGTGTAGTTTTAAGGCAAAGGGGTTGCATTAAATTATAATAAATGGACATCTTTATGATATTGCATCTTCCTATTTCATAACATGGTTTTTCTTTTCATTTGTTCAAGTTTACTTGTATTTCCTTCGAGAGTATTTTATGTAGTTTTTCTCAAACAGGTCTCTCTTTTATAAAAAGAAATGTCATTATATAAAATGTAACAAATATATCGTTCCCTCTAATCCCTACACAAGATTAATTAATCTTCCAGAACGTTCATTTATGTTTATAATATTTTCATTTTGTTTTATATACTCACCTGAGTATATTTTTGTCCATAGATTTTCAGATTAGGAGGGAGAGAGAGAGAGAAAAACTTCGATATGAGAGAGAGAGATTGATTGGTTTGCCTCCCACATGACCCTGACCAGGGTAGGGGATGTGCCTTTGACCAGAATCAAACCCATGACTCTATGCTCTGTAGGTTGATGCTCTGACTGCTGAGCCAAACCGGCCAGGACCATTTCATTATATATTTTTTATCTTTTCAATGGCAACAAGTGTGTGTAAATCATTTTTAATGTCTGCTAATTATTTTATGTAGATGTACAAAAATGTACTTCTTATATGAAGATACAGTTCTACAGGATACACATATATTGTCTTATTTAATCTTCTCAAGAATCCAATAATTGTATTTCACCCAATATTGATCTAGCATTTTTTTAAAAATTATATTTACAGAAAATATGTAAGAATACTTCAATGAACTCTTATACATGCGTTACCTATGTTACATAATTTTTAATAATTTGTACATTTGTACTTATACACATAGGCACACAAAAACACACCTTATATTCATGTATATTATTCCTGATATATATATATACATACATATATATTTTTTTTAAATTTGTGAGCTAGTTGCATGCTTTATATCTTCCCACTAAATAATACTCTAGAGGGTATTTTCCAAGACATTCTATTATATAACCACAGTACAATGATCAATCACAAAAATTTGATAAAAATATCTACTCTGTAGTTCATATTCAAATATTATATTTTCCGATAGTATTCTTGTTTGTTTTTTTAATCCTTACCTGAGGATATCTTTCCATTGAAATTTTTTCCATTTTTGTTCACATAGAGTGGGAGGGGGGGAGGAGAGAGAGAGAGAGAGAGAGACAGACAGACAGACAGACATAGATTGGTTACCTGTCGCAGGACCCTAATCCAGGCCAGGGATCAAACCCACAACTGAGATACATCCTCTTGACCAAGAATTGAATCTGTGACTCTTTGTCTCCAGGCTGACTCTATAATCCTTGAGCCAAACCGGCCAGGGTGACCCTATAATATTCTTTATAGTAATTTTTCCCTATCCCACATTGGATAGTTTGTGGTGTTTTGTGTTTTGGACTCTTAATCCTTTAATCTCAGTTCTTCATATTGCATGACGTTGCCATTTTTAAAGGGAGTGAGTTAATTTTGAAGACTATTGCTCCATTTGGCCCGTCTGATTGTTCCTGCCTGATTTAGTTCATATCAGGCATTACTGGCAGGAAAACTATACTTAATCCATAAAATTAGGAACAATAAGTCAGTTTTTCCAATTTCGGTGATGTTGACTACGATATTCTGCAGAAGCTCTTTTAGGTCTTTGACCTTTCACATTTCCTCTGTTTTTAATTTGTAAATAACTGTCAATAGTTAAATTCTATTTTTCTCTCTTTTTCATGTATTATTTCAAAAACATAAACCAATTATTTTCTATTTGTTTTTTGGTAACTTTAATTTCCTCTGCAATTTCTAATTAACTCCTTTGATCCCATTTGCATCCTACCTTTTTTCCTTACCAAGTTGTTGTCATATTTTGCCCCTTTAAAGCATACTTTTTGTTTTTATAAGATTTTGAGGAAGTGAGACTACTTTTATTACTATTTTTCTCCTCCCTTTTTTTATTCATATTATCTTTTTGTTGTTGTTAATCCTCACCCAAAGATATATTTCCACTAGTATTTTTAGATAGAGTGGGATGGAGGGAAGGTGAGAGAGAGAGAGAAGCATTCATGTGAGAGAGACACATTGACTTTGATCAGGACAGGGATCAAACGCGCAATCCTTGATCAGGCATCAAACCCATGACCCTTAAGTACACCAGCTGATTCTCCATTTGCTGAGGCAAACTGGCTAGGGCTCTTCATGGAATCTTGAGGGATCCTTTTAGTATGTGTTTTTTTTTTTTGTATTCCATGCTATATCAGGCTTTTTCCCAATGTTTCCAATTAAACATTTTAATCTCTAAATTTATATTCTTTTTATTTACTGTTGTTTTTAAGTGTGTTTATTTTCATTTATTTTTATTTTATTATTATATATTTTTTTATCCTCACTTGAGGACATTTTTGCATTTATCTTCAGATAGAGCAGGAGGTAGAGAGGGAGGAAGAGAGAAAAATCAATGTGAGAGAGACGCATGGAGTGGTTGCCACCCACACAACCCCAACCAGGGCCGGGAATAAACTGCAACCGAGGTACGGGCCCTCAGCCGGAACCGAACCCGGGACTCTCTGGCCGTGGGCCAACGCTCTAACTGCTGAGCCAAACTGGCCAGGGCTATTTTTATTTTTTATGTCCCTCACTTCCCCCCACCCACAGCCGCTAGTCCCTTGGAGTCAGACTACTTTATTTTTTTAATTGAGGTAACTGGCTAGTAACATAAATTTCAGGTGTAATTTGATACCATTATAATTTGATATCTGCATACTCTGTTGTGTGGTCATCTCCAAAAGTCTAGTTTCCACTAGTTTCCATACTCTTTATACATACATACTTACATATATATATATATTTTAATCTTCACCTGAGGATATTTTCCCATTTATCTTCAGGTACAGTGGGAGGGAGGTTGGGGGGAGAGAGAGACATCAGTGTGAGAAAGACACATGGATTGGTTGCCTCCCGTATGACCCCGACCAGGGCTGGGGACTGAACCGCTACTGTGGTACATGCCCTTAACCGGAATCAAACCTACAACTCTGGTCTTGGGACTGACGATCTGACCGCTGAGCCAAACTGGCCAGGGCTATATTGTTTATATTTTTAAGGCATTATAAGTAGTACTTATATAGTATTTCAAGTTTCAAGCATTATGCAAATAGGAACCACAGAGTGTATGTTACTTTCCTGGTTTCATATATTTGTATGTGTCTTCCAGTCATTGTTGTCCTTAGTATAGAATGTATTTCAGGGTTTCAGAAATGGCCCCAGAGGGATAAAATTACCAAGTTACCTAATGAAACAGACTTTCAACTCATTTTTATTCTTTTGTGACATTCATAAAGGCTTTCTTTTACATTGATAAAATGATTTCAAATACAATATATACTATCCTTTTTAGTCCTCACAGGATTATATAGATGTTATTTTATAGATGGAGGAGTTAAAATCCTGAGAGATCATGAGATGTTCTAGTTTTCATTTGATAGGGAATGAATCTAGAATGTAAAATCCAGGCCCTTTGTATTCCCCTGCTTTGACCATCTCCAAATCAAACAAGGTTATGGATATTTCAGATCTGTATAATTCACTACCATTTATTTGCTTTCACAATCTTGAACAAACATTTTAGTTAAAAATGTAGTTATATTCATGTGCAGTTAGCTTTGTGTTATTAATAGTACTTTAGATATAATAATTAGTAAGAGAGTGTTAAAATCAGTTTATTAGCCATCTATCCTTCTAAAGTTATATCATCTTGAAATGTTCTGTCTGAGGTATTGTCCTGCTTTGTCATATCAGTTCATTGCCTTGCAATTACCATCTTACAGTCGTACCTGTACATGTCAAGGAATTGATCCAGAGACTTGTGGAGCTTCATTCTCTTTTGGCTGTTCATGGAGTATGTATTTCAATGGCTGCAAATTTGGTAGAAGCCCAAGCCCTAGAAGATTTAGAATTGATCCAAGCTCTCCCCTGCATGTAAGTGTCCTTTTAACTTTTTAATTACACAATGAATATATAAATACATTTCTTCAAAATAAATAGTAAAAAATGTACATATTAAAAGTAGTGGAAAAGCCATAAAACATATATTTATATAAATAAATTAAATTCTAAATAAATTAGGTTAAGTCTTTAACTATCAACTTAAATTCCAGTTGTCCCTGGCTCCCTCCTCCTCCCCTAACCCCAGAGAAAATTATTGTTAAAAGAACCTAGAATTTTACACCCAGCTGAAGTAGGAAGAATAAATAAAACCATTTGCCAACATTTCAAAGACTCAGAAAGTTTACTACCCACAGAGCTTCTATGAAAGAATTACTAAAGGACGTATTCCAGAAAGAAGATACGTGAAACCGGAAGCAATCTGTCCGGGACACGAGGCCATGGTGAGCAAAGAAATTAGTCAACCTTACTGTTAAGTTTAAATAAGTCGAGTACTTACATTTTTAAAATTAAAAATAACAACCTATAAGTATTAATTCCATTCTCTTAACAACTCAGTGGGAGGGGGTGGGGCACCTACAAGAACTAAGTGTGGTGATGTTTTATGCTTTGTTTGGAGCGGGAAGGATTTAGATAGTGATTAACTCTAAGATCAGTGTTTTTCAAACTTTGAGCTGTGACCAAAAGTAAAAAAACATTTTATGTTACAAACTCCTCTATACAGATAGGTACGTACAAGTAAATAATTAAAACAAAACTATCAGAAAAAGAAAGCTTAGCCTTACTATATGTAAAAAAGGAAATATTTTTAAAATTAAAACTTAATATCTAATAGAGTTATTGCTAAGTATCTCTATGATTCAGCATAATCTATTTAATAAAATTGTTTTTTTAATGCTAGTTTTGACCTACTAAACTGATTTCATGTCCCACTAATTAGCCATGGCCCACAGCTTGATAAACACTGCTCTAGATGTCAGAAAAATGTATTTGAAAAAGTGCATGTTTAAAATTTTTTTAGATGAATAAAAATAGAATTTGTAGCTTTGAACCAACTGTGTATATGTGTGTGTGTGTGTGTGTGTGTGTGTGTGTGCACCTGCGTGCCTGTGCACGCAGTAGGATTAAAAAGCAAAGAATCCATCCATAAATCAGCAAAGAGAGTTTACATGAAATCGATGGAATTGAGGATAAATAGAAAAGAAAACAGCAGGACTTAATCCAACTGTATCTATAATACACTGACTATAACATCTTTCCAAAAAGCTTAGAATTAAATAAACAATGATCCCTTTAAAGAGGTAATTAAAATTATTTAGCATTTCCTAGCATTCCCATCTATTGCAATTAAATAAATAAAAGATTCAAGAGATTGAATTATCATTTTGCAGGTAGAGTACCATAGAAGTCTAATAAGAAATATGTTAAACTGTTAGGGGGAAAACTATGAAAAATTACTAATGGACATACAAAATTGTTGATAATGTAAAGTTACTATGTTCAAAGATTAGAACACTTGTAAATGTGACATCAGTTCTTCCTTAAAATTGACCAGTTGAGTTTTCTTTCCAAATATTATATTTTAAAACTGTTAGCATGTAAATATATTAATAATATTAACATGACTTAAATTTTTATTCTATGACAATAATACTGTTATATAGTGTTAAAAGTGTGAGATCAGCCTAGCTGGTGTGGCTCAATGGTTGAGCGTCAAACCATGCACCAAGAGGTCGCAGGTTCGATTCCTGGTCAGGACACATGCCCCGGTTGTGGGCCCAGTCCCCAGTCGGGGACATGCAGGAGGTGGCCAGTCAATGTTCTCTCTCATCAATGTTTCTCTCTCTCTCTCCCTCTCCCTTCCTCTCTCTCTAAAATCAGTAAAGAAAAAAAAGTTTTTTTAAAAGTGTGAGATCAGTTTTTGCTTATGGTTATTACTGATCATGTGTAACATTTATATAGTATTTATAATACAGGATGAAGCATTGCTCATTACAGAAACTGAGAGAAGGCTAGTATGAACCCCAGCAGACAAAGGAGACTGAGGTGCACTCAAAGTCCTTATTAGCCATGCCAAAATTTTGGAAGATCATTGAAGGGTTTTAAGGACAGTGATACAATTACTATTATTAGTAGCAATCCAGATTCTTAATAATGGTGTTAAGGTTCCTCACAGTCCCACCAAATCTTCCTCAATTTGTAGCCATTGTGGTGTAAAAAAGAAATCACTTATTTTAGAAAACCAGTTGCCTGCTTATTCTATTAGAAGCTCTTAACATAGGATCTGCTACATGATATGTGCCGTATGTGTATTGCTCTTCCTATGTGTTATTGAAAGTTGTTGAATTGTGTCAGAATTCTTTGCTTCAACATCTCCCTTTGCCAGCAACAACTTTGTCTTCCTTTACCTAAAGTGCCCAGTACCATAAAGTAGGGTTCTCATTTTTAGCAATAAGAGCAGTTTTGCAACTTAACTCTAACACCATTTAGATTTCTAATTAGCTTATAACATAGAATTTTAATTTCAAAAGACTAAAGCATAACAATCACTAATAATATAGTTTTTTGTTTTTTTAATCCATGTTACTTTCTATGGTAGCTCTTTCATCGGGGTAAGGATGAACTATGCAACAACTACATATCATTTTTATAACCTTAAACTCATATCTTTGTGAAATAATCTTTATGGACTATCTTTTCCTACAGGAAAAAAACCTTGAAGAGAATTTACAGAGTTTGGCCACACAATTAGCTCCAGTTTATAAGCAGTATGCTCCAGTTGCTTACCAGAACCAGGTATGTTGTGGTTTTTTTGTTTGTTTTTTTTTAAAGTATTATTATGGTAATTGAATTAAACGCATGACAGAATTATGATTATTTCTAAAAATAAAACTTTGAAAAGCAGGAATATGTCATTGGTTCAACACATAAAAATTAATCAGTGTGATATACCATATTAATAGAACAAAGGATAAAAACCACATGATACCTCTATAGATGAAGAAAAGTCTATAAATAATCCTACTCTCTTTCCTAATTAAAACACTCAACAAACTAACAGTAGAAGGGAATTGTCTCAACCTGATAGGACATCTATGAACAAGATAAAAATGTCAAATCTCACCACTTCTATGAAACATATTATCGAGGATTCTAGTAATAGCCATTAGGCAAGTCAAAGAAATCCAGACCAAAAATGTAGAGAAAAAACTATCTACAGTTGGAAGTGATGTGATCCTGTATGTAGAAAATACTGAGGTACACACTCATACACTAATAAGTGAGTTCAGCAAGGTTTTTGGATACAAGATTAATATCCAAAATCATTGTATTTCTTTCTATATACTAGCAATAGACAATCTAAAAATGAAATTTAAAAAATAGATCATCAATATTTTTAAATTTTGTGCTTTAAAGGACAGCATCAAGAAAGTATATAGGGTAAAAAGCAGTGGTACATATATTCAGTGGAATACTATGCAGCTATAAGAAAGAGAGATTTCTTATCCTTTGAGACAACATGGAATTACCTGGAGAGTATTATGCTAAGTGAAATTAGCCAATCAGAGAAAGACAAATACCACACAATCTTATTTATTTGTGGGATATAATGAACAAAATTCCAGCTTTTCATTATTCACATCAAAAACTATGCATACATGATTAATGCACTATACTAGTCTTTCTTCCTAATGGATTGATTTAGGCTCCTCTACTTGTTGGTCCATCACCAGCAGTCATTATTGTCTTCACCCTGCCTTCAGTCATAGTAATTATCATTTTACCCAAGTATTCTCAAAATCTTTATCCTGAATGTTACTATACATGCTCAGTGCAGTATTACACTGTCGATTCAGAAATTACAAACTGTAATTAAGAACTTTGTTAGGAAATTATTTGTATTCTTTACTGAAAGTGATTCTTTCTGTCTCTTAAACTGTGTGTTATACTTAATTTTTAGGTAGAATATGAACATGTTGCCCGAGAATGTCGGCTTGGCAGCAAAGAAGGTCGTCCTTTCTCTGGAGTGACTGCTTGCCTAGACTTCTGTGCCCATCCCCACAGGGACATTCACAACATGAATAATGGAAGCACTGTGGTATGTACCTGGGTGGCTTTTGATTCTAAAAGTTCTATTGCAATATGATTGGCTAAGGTCTTTAAATATGACTTGTAACGAATCATTGTTCTGTTCTATAATGTATATATCAATTGTATTAATTTAAGTTATTATTGAAGCACTTCCAAAAAAAGTTATAGAACTAGCCTTCAACATATATTTTGTTGAAATTCTTGAAGGTATGTATGTTGGGACGTAAGAGTTACATGATTATTTAAATGCAACAATTCTGTGCTATCAAACTGGTAGTTAGGAAATTAAACAACTTAATGTTTCTTTTTTCTTTGAAGAATGCACATTTTAAAAAATATATGTTTTCATTGATTTTAGAGAGAGAGGAAGGTAGACAGAAACATATTGATGAGAAACATTATTCAGCTGCCTTCTGCACGCCCCCTTCTGGGGATCAAGCCCAAAATCTGGGCATGTGCTCTAGACCTGAATCAAACCAGCAACCTCTAAGTGCATAGGCCGATGCCCAACCAACAGAGCCATACTGTCCAGGGCTTTAATGTTTCTTTTTTTTGCCATCTATAGTTCATGGTTTCTGTGAGGGAATCATCTTTTTAATGCATTTGCTTCTTAATGCCTGTGTGTATAAAGTTACATTAATATTAAAAAATTACTAGGTGTGCATACTATATTTATAGTATAAAAAGAATCACATACCCACAGTGTGAAGTCAATCGAGAGACTTAAATTAGGGGGAAATCTTTCCATAGTCCTTTTATAAGGGAAATGAGTTCCAATAATTATTTTTATCTCGCCTTGTAAAATAGAGATTAAAAAGAGTGATTGTTTCTGTTTTTGTAATACACCGATTGCTTTGGTTGGTCCAGTATAAGACACAGCTACAGGCTCATAATAGTGTGATTTGAAATCTGATTCCTCGCTGGTCAGTAAAGTCTGTCAGTCATAGACTAAGAAGCCAAAATAACTTTTTTTTTTTTTTGATATTTTGTTCAGATAGAGTTGGAGGGAGAGAGAGAGAGAGAGAGAGAGAAACTTCGACGTGAAAGGGACACATCAAGTAGTTGCCACCCGCACAACCCAACCAGGGCCGGGGACAAACTGCAACTGAGGTACATGCCCTTAGCGGGAACTGAACCCGGGTCTCTCTGGACCGCAGGCCGACGCTCTAACCGCTGAGCCAAACTGGCCAGGGCCAAAATAACTTTTTGCATATCAATACTCTTCACTGATTATGACTATGGTATTTGGGAATGGTGTTATTTGTAAATGCTGGAATTTTATAAATAGGTCCAGATGACTCTTTGCCAGAGTGGTTCATTGTCATCACTTGACTAGTACATTTTATCTGAATGACCTAATCATGCTGTGTTAGGTTCATAGTCAAACTAAATATTGGTTCCTCTTCCCTTGTGCTTCTCTCATGCATTATTCGGTGCTCGTTTTTCTCCACTGCTATCCTTATTCATGGCATGAGGCTCAGACCTAGAACATGGCATAATTCTACTTTCAACTCTTCTTCCACCCTGTCTGTTTCTAATTATGTTCCTCATGTCTAGTCCTTGTCTCCTTAGTGTCTCCATGGACAAATAAATAGATTGAGGTAATCACTTACTAGAAGGTTCAAAATTTTAACATAGTTTTTCAAAGTTATTAACTTAAATCTTAAAATACTGAACTCAAAAGAGTTCAGTATTTCACGTCTTGCTGGTAAATGTGACTATGGATATTAAGAAAATGTTAAGATTATTTAAACTTTTAGCCTACCTGACTTTATTATCTGTATCCATCCAATTTCATCAACCTTTGCAATCAAATCTGGTCATTTTCTCCATTTCTAGTCTTATAACATTTCTGCTGTCTTATTTCTAGGAGAATATTTTCAGTGAAAAATAATGAAACTGTTGGATATGCTATTAATGGATCTTTAATGACATTTGAATATTATCATAAAAATAGTTTATGAAGAAAAATATTATTAGGTATTAAAGTTCAGAAATATTCTGTATTTTCCTTTCTCTGTAATGAATAAAAATAAAGGACAAGTGCTGAGAGAAAGAATTTTCTTCAGATGTCCTATTTCATATCTAAATCAAAGTCAAGCAACCTTATTGATATACTCCTAACTACTATAATAGAAGCAAAGGGGAGCAGAAAGAGAAAATGTATCAAAATAAAACTTTTCAGTTATTTTTTTAAAAAACAAGTAGAATATAAGTCCTGCTAGAAAAGGAAATCTCTTGTACTTCTTCTTTTGTTTCATTAATATCTGTCAATTTATTTAGTAAAGAAAAAAAATCACCCTGATAAGGAGGATAGGAAAAAAAATCTGTAATTCATAAAAATTGAAAAAAATAAAAATAAAATATCCTTCCCCCAACAAAATCTGTAAATGCCACTTCTAAATAGATAGAAGTGAATAACTCCGAGAGGAAAACACAGCAAATTAGAAAATTCATTATAATTAAGCTCCCTCTACCCAAAGGAGTGTGACATTATTAAAATATTAAGAAATAAGTTTATGTGCAGGATAAAATAATATCTTCTTAATAGATAATATTTAATAAGAAGGTAGTGAACAGTTCACTAACTGTTCCTTAAACTTAGGCAATTAAGATGGAATGTAACAGATATAAGGCTTAATATTTAAAATGTTATAAAATGCATAATCATATACAATATCATTTACTTATGAAATCAACTCAAAATTATGGTCTGCTTAAAGATAATTGATAAGTGAATAGAATTGAATAGTGTTGGGTGGCTTGATATATAAGACATTTATCCAAAATTAATATACCAGTAGTAACCAATTGAAAATAGAATGAGAATATCCATTGCAAAATGGCAACAATGAGAAGGTAGGAAAAATCCTGGTGACTGTGCAGGACCTATATTTTCCATTTCGTGTCTTCTTCCTATCAGGTTTGTACTTTAACACGAGAAGATAATCGCTCATTGGGTGTTATTCCTCAAGATGAGCAGCTGCATGTGCTGCCCCTTTATAAACTTTCAGACACAGATGAGTTTGGCTCAAGGGAAGGAATGGAAGCCAAGGTCAAATCTGGGGCCATTGAGGTCCTCACACCTCGCTGCAAAAAAAGAACATGTTTTACTCAGCCAGTTCCTCGTTCTGGGAAGAAAAGAGCAGCAATGATGACAGAGGTCCTCGCGAATAAGATAAGGGCTGTGGAGAAGAAATTCATCCCTCGAATCAAGCGGAAGAATAACTCGACACATAACAGTAAGGCTTCATCACTGTCGCTTTTAGGTGAGGCCTATGGACCCTGCTAATTTTCTGTGTACACTTTCATTGGCAGAAGTTTGGCATTTCCTTTGCACTGTATTCTTCGTCTCCTTTATCTTTGCTCTTCTCTTAGGAATGAGACATTATGGGAAGAAACCATTTATGTCACATATTGATTAAGTTAGCTAATTGTTCTTATATCTCATTTATTTTTAACATAGCTTAGTTAGAGTTCAAACTATATGTAAGATACCAAATATATTTCTACATACTTACCAAGACCAAATATCAACAAAATAGTGACCCATCTGTATTTCTTAGTGTCTTTTCCTGTTTATCCTTAAAAAAAGAAAAGTTATTTTTTATTTACTCCTCACCCAAGGATTTTATTGATTTTAGAGAGAGAGGAAGGGTGAGGGTGAGAGAGAGAGAGAGACATCGATATGAGAGAGAAACATTGATGGAGCCCCGATTAGGAATAAAATTTAAAGCCTAGGTATGTATGTGCCCTAAGCAGAATCCAACGTGCAACCCTTTTGGTGTGTGGGATGATGCCCCCACTAACTGAGCCACCCGGCCGGAGCAACATGTTTGATTTTTGTTTTTGTTTTCTTTATCGATTTTAGAGAGAGAGGAGGAGAGAGGGAGAGAGAGATAGAAACATTGATTGGCTGGCTCCTTCATGGCCCCCACTGGGGATCCGGCCCACAACCTGGGCATGTGCCCTGACCAGGAATCAAACCGGTGACCTCTTGGTGCATGGGTCAGTGCTCATCCACTGAGCCACACCATCTGGGCTGTTTTTGTTTATTTTTAATCCCCATCTATTTTGAAGCCCTACCTCTCCTTCTTGGCATACCTGGAATGACATCACTTTCTTGAAATCTTCCTTGATCACCTTTAGTATCAATTTAAGTACCTACTCAACAGGTATTACTGAGCACCACCTGGAAGTGTTCTAGGTATCGGAAATGTAGCCAGGAAAATGAGGGGAGATAGTGCTGTAAAAGAATTCCATTTCAACATGGTTGCCAAAAGGATTCACTAAGAGTATTTAGTGAGAATCTGCAGTGTTTTTATTGAGAGAAATATTATTCCAGGGAGAGGAAATGGCAAATGCAAAACTCAGGATGCAGGAATTTCCCTTGAATACTTGATGCAAGCAAGGAGGCCAGTGTGGCTATAGCAAGTGTGAAATGAGGGGAATAGTTGAAGATGAGATCAGAGAGGAAAGAGGGGATTTGAGCAGTTCATCTCAGGTTTTGTAGATTGCTGTAAAGACTTGTCTTTGTTGTGAATGAGAGGAAGTTTACTGGAGATTTCAGAATAGCAAAGGGCTATAATGTGACTCAAGCCTAATATTCTGGTTACTGGGTTAAAAGTAGAGTAAAGTGGGACAGAGAATAGAAAAGTAGGGTGAACTTAAAGGGGGTATCCTAACAACTCAGGAAAGAGATAATGGAGCTTGGTACAAAGGAGCTAGTGAGGGCATGGGAAATGTCTGGTTTTAGGTATGGTTTGAAGGTAGGTAGAGTCAACTAGATTTCTGATTACATTTGGAATGTGCCCCCCACCCCAAATGTAGAGGTTTGCTCTAATGTTATTGTCTTGAAGAAACTGGAAGTGTGGATAAATCACCACGATGTCATGAAGAGTGGGTAGAGAACTGAATTGGAAAGATATAGATGGCGATCAGAAGCTAGAAGCTCACTTTTGTCAGATGTTTCAGTCTAGATGTTAGGTAAGCAGTTGAATAAAAGTGTAATTCTGAGAAAAGTTTAAAGCTGGAGATATAATTAAGGAGGTCCATTTCATATAGTATTTAAAGCCATGAGAATGAATGAAATCACAGAGAAATTCAAGGAGATAAAAAATTTTTTTTTTTTAATCAAGACCAAATCCTGAGAATTCCCAATTAGTAGAGGCTTCAGAGATGAGGAAGAATGAGCAAGAGACACTGGGTATGTCCAGTGAGGTAGGGTTGAAACCACAAGAGGGCAGTGTTTGGAGGAAGGAGTGATGGACTATGTCAAATGCTGCTGTGCCTGTGTCAAGTGAGGTGAATACTGAGATTTCCTCCTTAGATTTGAAGGCTATTTATTATTAAAGGTCTTGCTAGAGCAGATTCATTTCCAAACAGTGATGGTGAGAATTAAAGAAGTAGATTTACAGAAAAATGGGGAGAAATTCTTGTGGTTGGCTATAATGTGGATGAATTGATTGAAGTAATGGTTATAAGGTTGTGGTTCTTTTCTTACATGGACAATTTGTTAAATGTACAAAGTGAGTAAATTATATAATGAATAATAACACGTCCCTCATATGCTCCCACCAGGCCACAATCCTTAATTTTTTCATAACAACTTGCAGAAGTCATATCCCATTAACCACTGATTCATCAGTATGTGTCACTAAAAGATCAGCAACTTTTATAACAACAATGCCTAAGAAAAAAGCAAAAAGTCAAAGAATGCCTTAATACCAATCTTTGTTCAAATTGCTTCACTTGTCTCCTAGTTGCTTTTTTGTACTTTACATTTAGTAAGTTTAAATCAGTATCCAAACAAGGTCACACATTATATTAAGTTGATATGTCTCCCATACCTTTTTCATTTAAAGTTTGCTTTTTTCCCTCTTTTTCTCTCTTTTCCCTTTTTTCATAATAGCAGAAACCACTTTTTTATAGAGACAAATTCAGCCTCATTAAAAAAAAACACAGTATGGCAAGAATACCATCTGTGATTTTTTTGTTTTTAAATTTTTTTTTTTTAATTGATTTTTAGACAGCATGGGACAGGGAGAGAAACATCCATCAGCAGCCTCCTGCATGCTCCCTACTGGAGATGAGGCTGGCAAACTGGGTGTGTGCCCTGATACGAATCAAAACAGTGACCTTTCAGTGCTCAGGACAACCCCCAACCGACCATGGCACACTGGCCAGAGCCAACTGTGAATCTTACTTTTCTGTTTCTTCACATCATGATATACATAGTGTCTGATGGTGTATCTTTTTGTAATGTGCCTGATTCATGGGTCAAGTGTTGTCATCCTAATATAACATAGCTGATTATATTGTGTCCTATCAGCTTTTTACCTAAATGATTTTAGGTACATTTATATTCTGTATTATTTATTTTTTTAGGAATAACAAAGTCTATCATGCTTTTTCCATTTGTTCGTTGATCTTCTATTAAAAAGAAATATTGCCCTTATCAATAACTTACTAATTCCATTGTATGGTTCATACAGGGAAATAAGAGTAAATGCTTAACTATTTGTCTTAATCTCCAGTTTTCAGAATGCACGTTTGTTCCTAAGCATCTTCTTATGTGCTCAACTTTTTAAAATTTAGTATCATTTTGATCTCATTTTAAAAAGTTTATATTGCAGTGCATATTAAATAGGTTTTTCCCCACTAAATTTGAAAATGCTTTTAAGAAACGATCCTTAAATTGTCCTATCAAGCTGGTTTCTGAATTGTTTTTGTTTCAACCCCAACTAGCTTTGATAATTTCTGTTCTGATAAGATGTTCCAAGCTCAATTTACATAATCCTGCACCATTATCTAAACTTAGCCATTTCTCCAAGGATCCCAAAGGAAAAAATACAACATGAATTTATACTGATATTCAAACTTAGAGGGTATTAACTTTTCTGATCTTTATAAGAGAGGTTATTTGTTTTTAAGTTTACTTTTAAGATTCACATTACTGGTTACATGCTGCTTATAATTAACAATCATATAATTTTCATCTTTGTGTCATTCCCCAATAGATAGCATCTTTACATGCTATTTTATTTTTTATCCTCATCTGAGGACTTTTATTTTTATTTTTATTTTGCATTTATCTTTAGATAGAACAGGAGAGGAGAGGGAAAGGAAGAGAGAAACATCGACTGGTTGCCATCCCCATTGACTGGGGCCGGGGATGAATTGCAACTGAGGTACATGTCCTTAGCAGGAACTGAACCCGGGACTCTCTGGTTCGCAGGCCAATGCTTTTAACTTCTGAGCCAAACCAGCCAGGGCTACATGCTATTTTTAAAGTAATATATACTGCTCAGCCGGTGTAGTTCAGTGGTTAAGCATCAACCCATGGACCAGGAGGTCGCTGATTCGATTCCCAGTGGAGGGCATGCAGGAGGCAGCCAATTGATATTTCCCTCTTATTGATGTTTCTATCTCTCTTCCTCCCCCTCTCTCTCTTAAACAAAATCAATAAATTATATATTTTTTAAAATAGTAAAGTAATGTATGCTGCCCTGGCCGGGTGTCTCAGGTGGAGTGTCATCCCATGCACCAAAAGGTGGCGATTTAATTCCTGGTCAGGGCACATACCCAGGATTTGGGTTTGAGCCTCGATTGAAGTGTATATAGGAGGCAACCAGTCAATGTTTCTCTCCCACACTCATGTTTCTTTCTCTCTCTCTGTCTCTCAACATATCCTCAGGTGAGGATAAAAAAATTTTTTAAATGATGTATACCTCATTAATAATAGTGTATATAATATTAAGCCCACAACCTCTTGACCCCTTTGTAATCTTATCCATAAAATCTTCCTTTAACAGTTTTATTTAACTCATTGAAATATGTATCACTAGTTTAATCTTTACTTCCTATGATCTATATTTGTTGATAAAAGTTCTCTTTAGAAATAAGTACAACCAGTGTTTCTCTCGGTTGTATCATCTGGGGGGAAAATTGCAGATCTCCTATATTAGATGTTTGCTAGCATATTAATTATTTTAAAACATGGCCACTTTTTCTAAAATTAACTGTTTTTGCACTTCCAAATTTCTTATAGAACTTGGAAACAGTAAGAATATTTCCATTTAGTGTGATGTTTGTGGGGGTATGTCACAGCAGCTACCCACATTGGCCAGTGTGACACTAATGATCTACCCTACTCAGTGAAAAAGAAACAAGCTTAAATGCATGTGTTTTAAGAGTTACAAATGGCTTTTTTCAACTAACATTTTTAGGTGACTTCCTTTGCTAATAATTTACTTGGAAGTTATTTTGCTTTATTTGCCCAGGAATTCTTATAAACTATTACTTATTTTATTCTTTTTAAAAAATGAGATCATGTAATACCTAAAATCCATCTAAACATCTCCTTGAGTAGTTAAATAAGCTCTATGTCATCATATTATCCCCTGCATTATATTGCAATGTATGATTTTAATATTTATTTCATAGCCCATTTAGGTCATTTCCAATATCTTCCTATTTTACACAGTGGACATCTTTTTGGCTAAATCTGTGTACTTATGATTATTTAGAAAGTGAAAAGCTCTTTAAGGAAAATTGTTGGGTGATAAAGCTACCAAACTACATCCAATTTTTAATGTATTCAAGTGCGTTTGACTTGAACAAAACTGGCCGACAATGCCATCGTCAGTGTTTTGTCATATTGTTCTTTGTACTCTGAAAAAATACTCTTTAAAGACAACAACTACCAAAAGTAGTTTGTACTTACCCTCACATTTGGTATCCTTTTCTCTGTTTAGGGAATAAAACTGAGACCTTGCAACCTGAAATAAAAAGTGAAACTGAACCCGATTTTATCTTCAAAGGTTCGGACAACACTAAAACCTACTCACTGACCCCATCCATTCCTCACCCAGTGAAAGAGGCAAACTTATCCCCAGGCTTCTGGTCCCCTAAGACTGCTTCGACCACAACATCTTTTAAGAGTGATGCCTCACTTCTGTGTGGGTTTTCAGAAAGAAGTAGCAATCCCCACTGCACAGTGCCTTCTGCGAGACACAGTGGTGCTAATGCTGCTGCTGGGGAATGCACTGGAATTGCACAGCCTGGTGAAGTGAGTCCTCTCCCCACCTTGCCTACTCCCATGTCAGATTCCCTGGTTTATTCTGAGCCTCCCATTTGTCCATCTGAGCAGCTAACTTCTAATCAGCCAAATCAGCAACTCCCACTCATCACCTCTGCTCCTGAACTTGCTTCATCTCTGGTGGAAGAAGATGAGCAGCATTCGGAAGCAGATGAGCCTCCATCAGATGATCCCCTATCAGATGACCCCCTGTCGCCCGCTGAGGAGAAACTGCCCCACATTGATGAGTATTGGTCAGACAGTGAGCACATCTTCTTGGATGCAAATGTTGGTGGCGTGGCAATAGCACCTGCTCATGGCTCTGTGTTAATTGAGTGTGCCCGGCGAGAGCTTCATGCTACGACTCCTGTCGAACACCCAAACCGAAATCATCCTACACGCCTCTCCCTGGTCTTCTACCAGCACAAAAACCTAAATAAGCCCCAACATGGTTTTGAACTAAACAAGATTAAGTTTGAGGCTAAGGAAGCTAAGAATAAGAAAACTAAGGCCTCAGAGCAGAAAGATCTGGCAGCTAATGAGGGTCCTAAACTATCCCCTGAAATTAATGAATTGAACCAAATTCCTTCTCATAGAGCATTAACATTAACCCATGACAATGTTGTCACTGTGTCCCCTTATGCTCTCACACATGTTGCAGGGCCCTATAACCATTGGGTCTGAAGGCTTTTCTCCCTTTCTTAATGCCTTTGCTAGTGCAGTGTATTTTTCCAAGGTGCTGTTAAAAGAAAGTCATGTTGTTGTTTACTATATCTTCATCTCACCCATTTGAAGGCTGAAGTAAAACAAAAAACAATAGGGTGGGTATTTCTTAACTGTGACTATATTTTGACAATTGGTAGGAGGTGCACATTTTAAGCAAAAATAAAAGTTTTATAGTTTTAAATACATAAAGAAATGTTTTGGTTAGGTGTTAACCTTGAAAGAATCATTCAGTTTGGTGCTTTAAATTAAGTCTGTTTACTATGAGACAAGAGTAATTTTTAGAGGATTTTTACAGGTAATGTGCTATGATGTAAAATCAAGATACACAGTGTTAACTCTACACAGCTCCTGGTGCTTAACCACATCGACACAGTTAAAAATAAGCTGAATTATTATTTCATGGTGCCATTGTTCCAACATCTTCCAATCATTGCTAGAAAATAGGCATATTCCTTTGAAATAAACCAATGAAATGTTTTCTCTCTTAAAGTCTCTCTCCTGTATAAAATAATTCATTATTGTTAGTAATGGTTGGAGGCTGTTCGTAAATTGTAAATATATATTTTAAAAGCACTTTCTATTTTTAAAAGTAACTTGAAATAGTATAGTATAAGAATCCTATTGTCTATTGTGTGTGCATATTTGCATACAAGAGAAATCATTTATTCTTGCTGTGTAGAGTTCCATCTTATTAACTGCAATATGTATTCTAATCATGTATATGGTTTGTGTTTTCAATGTGTTCTTTCTCATTCAAATAATAGCTACTTATATAAAATAGTTAGATCATACAAAATTTATTATTTCTAAAATTGGAATTTGAAAGCATATCACCAATATTGATTAACATTTTCTTAGGAACTAAGTAAGAGTGATCTCTTCTGATTTATTGAGCAACACTGACCCCAGTTTTCTTTCACTGTAGCTTTCTCAATATAATCCATGAAAGGTGTTTCCAAAAGGAGATGGGACATGATAAGATTCAGAAGAGTCAAATGCTTCTAAAGTGTCAAGGTGATAAAATACAAAAATTAAGTAGTAAGAACCCTACCCATCCCAAATTGCCTTATTTGTTATAAAAGTCATTCTGGTACAGAAGAATAAAATTTTTGTAGAAGTATTTTGAAAACAAATCCCTTATTATCATTACACACCCCAAACAAACAGTAGGAATGATATTATAAATATAGTTCTATCCATTAAGAGCTAATCCAAAGTAGTTTACACATATTAGTTTGGGGAAAAGGATAACTTCTGTGATAATTGCCTATGTTCTCGGTAACAGGAAAATAGGCATTCCATTTATTTTAGTCCTCCCATTAGTTTTTCTATTACTTGATTGATTCATAACAAAACAAAAAGGATTGCCCAAAGCAAATGTTCGAACAAGATGAAATTTCATTGAAATACTTGATTCTGTTAAAATGCAGAGGTGCTATAAAATTTAAAGTCTCAGATTCCTTGGGAGTATGGAAAACCTAATGGTGCTTCTCCCCTGGAAATGCCATAGGAAGCCCACAACCGCTAACACTCACAATTTTGGTGCAAAAGCAAACAGTTCCAGTAAGCTCTCTAAAGAAAAACTCCTTATAATATATTTAAAAAGTATATGGTGCAAGGTATCGGTTTCAGGCTTTTGACTATTCAAAGTAAAGGTATATGAAGTGATTGTAAATAACAAAAAGTCCATCGATAGACCATTATCTTGTGCAAGTAAATTTCTTATTTTGAATATGTAAAATAGGGTAATTCATTGACTTGTTTTAGTATTTTGTGTGCCTTAGATTTCTGTTTTAAAACATGTATATTTTGTGAGCCTAAGGTTTCTTATACATATAAGTATATAAATAAGTGATTGTTTATTGTTTCAGCTGCTTAAATAAGATATTTACTAGTATTAGACTATCAGGAATACACCCTTGTAAAATTTTGTTTTAGGTTTTAGGCCTTAGCTCTCACTAGAAGTTATTTTCTCACCAGATTTAATGGATAAAGTTTTGAGATCCTTTATCCATGCACCTATCTATCCATTCTTCCATTCAACACTTATTGAATGTCTGCAAAATTTAAGTATTAGCTTTTGTCTTTCTTTGAGGAACCACCTATGACAGTTAACTTGAAGAATTAAAATCCTAGAAGATACTCTTACACATATTTTTCAAAGTAGTAGTACAATTTTTTCAAAACAATCTATTGTGGCGCATGTGCAGCAATTCAGATCAATGTCACTAATTTATAATAAGTTCCTTAACAATCTAAACTTGAAGCACCAATGTTGATTTAAGGGAATATTGGGATTTTTGAAGTTAGTTGCAGTTTACCAAAACAAGTACATGAAAATATCTAGTCTCAGCTAAAAATGTCTCTATTCACTTATTATAATTTATATCATGAATGACCTGCTCAACTGATAACCCCATAATGGGAACCCCATATGATTCCTACATTGTTGGACTCTAATTCTCTTAATAGTTTACCATCCCATTGTTTGCCCTGTAAATTTTTTAAAATATTCACGCTTATTTAATGTTCTACAGCATTGTGATTTTATGCTGGCTACACTGCTGTTAGAATGCTCTTTTTCGTGAAGCAAGGAAATAAATTTGTTTGAAATGATATTTTCACTCAGAAAACCTGTCATCTAATATTATTTCTACACCTCTATTATATTTTACTGTAATGATCACTTTTGTTTCACCTTTTCTGTAGCACTCAAATTGCATTTTCCATCTTCTGCCTTTGTTCATGGTATGATAATTGAATTCATTGATACATGGGTCCCAAGTTAGCCCAAATTGTTCGTAATATGTTACAAACTTAACTATGATGGGAGAATAACGCCTGCCTATTGTAGAATCCTACAAAATATGCTGCTTTTCAAAATCCCATTTCTAATGACTCCTAGGCTATCACTGAAAATGTTTTTCTTATGCTTGACAGCCTCACCTACATCCTTTTTCCAATTCATCCACAAATTACCAAATATATCATGTTATAAACCTAATGGAAAGATATCAGCGATTTTCAACCAGTATGCCACAGAATTTTAAAACATGGCAGTATATGACTATTTAGTTTGGGGCACTGACCTCTTTTCCCTTAGACTGTCAAATTAAAAAATGACAACAGCCAACATAATAGCTGTCTGGTGTGAATGAATCAAAATTACACATATATATAAATTTTTTTTTTGGTCAGAGTGGCAACAAATAATATATTCTTTCGGGTGCCCCACAAATTTACTTATTAGTTTATGTGTGCCATGAGATGAAAAAGATTGAAGATCGCTGAAATACATTCTTATTATTATGGGAAAGTGAGCCTAACTGAAAATGTATAGCTATTGGTTAATTTTTCAACATATTAGCAAAATGTTTGCATCTTAAATAACCTTCCAACATCTTTATGCAATCTGCATGTGGATGAAATAATTTCATTTGTAAAATGTAGAATTTTTAGATTAGATCCATCAGCAATTTGCTTAAGATATAACCCCAATACATATTTAATTGAATGCATACTCTTGTAAATGAGATTCTTAATTCGTATGAAGTAACCTACTTTCTAATGTTATTATTTCCATGGATTCCTCTGATTATCATTTATTTCAAAATAGCATGTATGAAGATAGCCCCAAACTATTTAAGTTTAGTATTTTTAAAACATTCTATTAAAATTTTTTATCTGGGACAAAGTTTTGACATTTGCATGACAATTCCACCAATAGTGGGCACAGCATTTCTTTTGAATGTGCCAAGTAAATAAGTAGCTGTATGTGACCTTTAATAATATATGGCTACCTTTTATTTTACAACTTTTTAATGCATGGAAATATTTGTCTAGATTTAGTACAGTTGTGAGTTTTGATCTTTTGTAGAAATTAATGATGAGAATTGTGAAATAAGCTAAAATAGTAGTGGCCTCTCACAGCACTGGAAGACACCTTAGAAGTCATAAAGATCAATCACTGGGGCCCAGAGAGCAGATTTTAATGTCAGTGTTTAATTATTTTTGTAATTAGAATTTAAAGAGTCAAATGAAGGCCACTTTGTGGTTAGGATGACTGTAGGAAATCAAACTTGATTTGATGACCCATAAGGTATTTTATCAACAGGAAATAATCTTATTTTGGCACAAGTCAAAAATAAATGGCTTTGGGTTTTTTTTTCTGAGAGGTTCAGGGGAAGAAGTTAAGTTGGATCAAAATTTCCCTGCCTTCAGAGCTTCTTGGACCTTGCATGGGAAATTTAGCTGACTTTTACATATTAAGCTAGCCTATTAATACATCCTACAAAGTGTGGCAATAGTCTTGTTTGCTATTTCAAGAAATATCAAGTACTTTTACAGTACAGGCTTTTATTTCCCCTGGAATAACTGTTAGGCATATATAATGAGTTATATAAAGTTGAATGGTTTAAATAATTGGGGAAAGTATATTTCTACTGTATATACTACCTAACCACAGTTGTACAGTCTATCCACGTGTCTTGCCTACTTGGCCCCACACAGTTAAGTCCCAGTATAGTTTATTTTGATGTAGCTGTCTACATTAGAATACTGTCTTATTGAGCACAGCTACTAAACTTGCCCATAAGTGTACTGAACTTGTAACTTCAACGTCAGTAGTGTGACATGCTTAATCAAGTGATGTAATCAGTGCCCTGATTCCTAAAAGAATAGATCTTTTCCAAATTAAATTATTTTCTATGTGAGCTTTTATCTTACAGGTTTAAAAAAAGATTCCATCCGTGGCTCTAGAATGCAATTCAGAAAGAGTCAGCATGTCCTTTATCAGAAACTGAATGTTTTTGTATTTTTTAATGTATTGAAATTAAATGGCATCTTTTTGCTTTCTTGTGTGTATAAAATAGAGTCTAACTTCTTCTGTTAATTTTGGAGATGATGAAAATGGCTTATCTTCATCACCCTTTTTGTCCACAATGAAATCTACAAACTTTAATTCTCTGCATTCCAGTATCTAGATAAGTTTTTCTCAGTCTCTGCTTCTAATGGGTACTCATTCAAATACCATTGTTTGCTTTACAAGGCATGTTTTTTATTCCTTCAGGTAATCCAAAGGTGTTCCTTATTTTGCTACTCCTAATTTGCACTGCTATGAGGGCCCCACAATGTG